ACCGAAATGTTAACAAAAGCTTAAAGACCAATTGTGGGCTAGTATGACAACTTAGAATCTCTGGGGGCCATGGATACAAGGAGTCTGCCCCATTTGCTGGCACTTTTCCATAGGCCTCCCTGGGTGTTCATGAAAGACTCAGGGAGAATTGAAAGAGCCTCCCTTTGGGGAAGATGAGCAGATGACAACCAGCTACCAATGGGAGAGAGGCATAAAACCCAAGCCCATCTTCCATACAAAGAAAAAGCCATCTGCCACTAGAGGAATGGTACAAAACCTTCCTGACCCCTGGTCCCAAGAAAAGACTGGCTGTGGTAGAAGAGGAGTTGAAGCAAAAGCCATCAGATGCTGCAGGAAGGCAGGAAAGCCACCAGTCCTCAGGATCCTTCAGTGATACAAAGCAGAGGTCTGTTACCAGTGAGAGAAGGACAGAAAATTCACTCCCATTTAAGACCTCACCCCATTACAATGCAAAGTCTGATTGCCATGGGGAGAGGGAGGCCCACCCTAAAACTCAAGAGCCCAGGACCTGCATGAGACTGCCGGCCCCAACCATAAGCCTTGTGCAAAGAAACCAGCAACATAACTCCACAGCTGAAGGAGGGATAGGACCGTGGAGAGAGACCCCACTTGTTGCACAGGTACACACAATCTGCTGAGAGCTGATGGTGAAATAGGAACACAGAAAAATCCTCTGGCATTCCAGGGCACACAACAAACACAAAATGGCAGCAGTCCCCCCACTGGAGCAATTTGAAACCTATGGTATACCGAAGGTAATGATATTAACAGTAAAACCCAAGTCCAGATAACTACTAGCAGGAGAAATTCAGTTCCCTCCATGCTAATAGCCTCATAGAAAGGTTTGCCCATTTGCAGGTATGAATATTATTTATCTCAGTTTCTACCATTCTTTTCCATGCAATGTCTGGCATTTAACCAAAAATTAAAAGACAAATTAAAAATCAAGAAGAAAATGACAAAAATGTATTGTCACGAGATAAAGTAGTCAATAGAACAAGATCCAGAGATGGCCCACATATTGATACTATCTAATAGGAACTTCAAAATAACTGTGATTAAAATAAAGGATCTGCGGCACCTGGGTGGCCCAGTTGGTTGAACAGCCAGCTCTTGATTTCAGCTCAGGTCATAATCCCAGGGTTCTGGGATTAAACCCCACATCAGACTCCTTTCCCAGTGGGGAGTCTGCTCCTCTCTGCCCCCTACCCTTCTCCTGGCTTGTGTTCTCTCAAATAAATAAACAAAATCTTTTAAAAAAAATACTAAAAGATCTAGTGGAATGGGTGCACAGCATACAAGACAGATGGAGGATTTCAGCAGCGACAATATTTTAAAAAAGAGTTAAGTGAAAATATTCAAAATAAAATACAGTATCAAGATATGAAGAATCACTTCAATTGGCTCATCAGCAGACAGGACACAGCACAAGAAAGCATCCGTGAACCTAAAACAGGTAAAAACTGGGGCGCCTGGGTGGCTCAATCACTTGAGCAACTGCCTATTGACTTCAGCTCAGATCATGATCTCAAGAGTCGTGAAACTGAGCCCCATTGTCAGGCTTCATACACAGCAGGGAGTCTGCTTGAGATGCTTTCCCTCTCCCTCTCCCTTTGCCCCTCCCCCTGTTCACTCTTTCTCTTTTTCTTCAATAAACAAGCAAGCAAACAAAGGAATGATCCGAACTGAAACGCAGAAAGAAAGTCAGAGTGAATACAACAGAAGTGTGCATCCAACAGAGCCGTGGGACAATATTATATCACCTAACAAATCTAATTGGAATCCCAGAAGAAGAGAGAAGAGGGCAGAAGGATATTTGATAGTAGAATGAGAATTTCCAAAATTAATGAAAGACAACAAAAAGATCCAAGAGGCTCAGAGAATCTCAAGGAGAATACAAAGAAAAATACACTTAGACACATCATAGTAAAACTGCTAAAAATCAAAAATTAAGAGGAAATCTTAAAGGTAGCCAGAAAACAACAAAAACATCACATAGAGAAGAACAAATAAAAGGATTATAGGACTCTCATCAGAAACTTTGCAGTCCTGAAGGCAAAGGAGTGATTTCTTTAAAGTACTGGAAAACTTAAACCTCACGACAATCCCATCAGCTTCCTTGAATTTTTCATGTTGGTGAGGTTAATCAGAGCAAGGAAAACTGGTGGCACTATGGGAACAAGAGTAAACGAAAGAGCGTAGATCCAAGGAGCTGGGTGGCCTTGAGAGCTGGAAGTGATATGGATATGGCCTCATGAAATCAACCATCAACGAGCAAGGATCCCAATTCCAAAAAGGGTTTTTCAGAGCCTGACCAGAGACTACATTCTTTAAATCACTCTCACCATGGTGGGGTTGGTTACAAGCAAAATTTCTGTACCCGTCCAAGCACCTATCCCTGGTATTTAAAGACACAGAATGAGTGGTGCAGATTCGGTCACAAGAGCCAAACTACAAAGGATAGTTCCTTTGAGTCCATCCATTGTTGTATTAGGAGACAGAGGAAAAAGTGAACAAAGAATCTCCAGATGCAGAGAACATAAACCTAGGGGGAGGAATCAAAGCATCTAAGCAACCATTTCATTCTGCTCCTGAGATGTTGGGTTGGAACAAGAAGTCCTGGGAGGATGGTGAATAAAGTGTGCCAAGCATTGTAATTTCAAGCAGTTTTAGCCCTTTCATAAGATCCATCATTTTCTAAAAGCCCCCGCCCCCAGTAAATATACAATCTGGGTTGTACAAAAAAAACACTGCCTTATTTAGTAAAGAATTACAAGATATAACAAGGATTTTAGAAAGCCAAGGTCAAGCCCATGTATGTCAGCTCCTATTACATTACTGGTGATAGCACTTCAAATGAATGTAGAAAATGAGATACTAGTAGGAGAGAAAAAAGGGAAGATGTAACTGTGAGGCTGTCTATTGTGGGCGCCTGTCTCTGAAGATATTCCAGTGACCAGAAACCTCCTAACTTCTTCTGATCACTCTTCTGCTTCAGAAATCAATAGGATAAGGTAACAATTTCAATCCTGCTACTTACAGTTATTCCAGAAATTACAGTTGTTGAATTGTTTTTCATTTCCAATGAAATGGAAAATCTGGGCAAATCTTTTGGATACAATTCTGGCACATAAGTAAGATACTGGAGGATCTACTACAATATCTAGCTAAAATGGGCTTATCATTCCTTTTAAAGGTTTGAAATATTTTTATTCCATTTGGGTACTAGATGGGTTTTTTAAATATATATCTGTTTATCACAGGAAAGAGGTTTTAAAAATTATTATTGAAAACCTTCTACTTTAAGAAGCATGAATCATTTATTTATTTTTTTAGTCATATCATGTTCTATTTATTTATTTTTTATTTTATTTATTTTTTTCAGTCATATCTTTTAAAAGCTCTCTGTTTCAAAATATTAAAAAAAAAAAGCTCTCTGTAGTGTCAAGGAGATAAAATTTCTGGTCATTAGGGATGTTACATGTGACTAATATTTATTATACCCAATGTAATAGTTTAAAACAAGTAGACTTGCTGGAGTTATAACTTTCATGTGCTACACGTATAATTCAGCATAGGTGGAAGCCCTTTTTATAATCAATATGATCATTTCTTGGAATTTTTACACGATAAGCAGAGTAGAAAAACACCTGATTGGGTATTTCAAGTCTCAGTTTTAGAACTATCAAACAATGGCCCAGTCATAAATAAGGAGTGCTATGATGTTCTGCTTCTTTAGTTAAGAGGAGAGGACATAAATGATACACTTTTTAGAGGGAATCCATGCAGTGGATAGATTAGATCAAGTGATCTTTCTGGATCTTTAAGGATCCATCCAGCTTAGGATTCTATGACTAGATGACCTCTAATGTTTCTTCTGTCTCAGAAAACAATTTACTTGGAACATAATCTTTTTTTCTATCTTCAACTGTTACATGGGTTATGAGTGCAATTTTGCTTTAATTCATTGCTGCTGATGTCTATTATTTATGTGATGTCAATTATATATAATGCTCCGGGAAAACATTTCACTTTATAAAGAGCACACTGCAGTAAAGTAGAGCCTGTCCATGAAACATTAGAAAATGCTGTCCCATTAGAAGTAACATTTACCTTCTAAACTCTGGCTAGGGGGGATCCCTGGGTGGCGCAGCGGTTTGGCGCCTGCCTTTGGCCCAGGGCGCGATCCTGGAGACCCGGGATCGAATCCCACGTCAGGCTCCCGGTGCATGGAGACTGCTTCTCCCTCTGCCTGTGTCTCTGCCTCTCTCTCTCTCTCTCTCTCTCTCTCTCTCTCTCTGTATGACTATCGTAAAATAAAATAAAAAAAATTAAAAAAAAAATAAACTCTGGCTATTTAGAGTTACACTTTAAGATAGCTGATGCTAGTTCTACCTCGCAAATCCAACAAAAAAAGTAAATAATCCAAAAGTACATTTTTATTTGCAACAAAATCATTAGGTGGTACTTTTAAAGTAGGCATTTGAACTCAATGCCTGAAAAACTGAAATATGATGTTCAATTACATCTGAATGTTTTTTTTTTTAAAAAGATTTATTTATTCATGAGAGACACGCAGAAAGAGAGAGGCAGAGACACAGGCAAAGGGAGAAGCAGGCTCCTTGCAGGGAGCCCTATGTGGGACCGATCCCAGATCCCAGGATCACGCCCTGAGCCAAAGGCAGATGCTCAACCACTGAGCCACCCAGGCATCCTGACATCTGAAGTTTTAAAAATGTATTTAAAACTCAAATATGGCTTGGGATGCTTGGGTGGTTCAGTCACTTAAGTATTCGATTCCTGATCTGGGCTCAGGTCATGGTCTTGGGGTTGTGAGATTGTGCCTTGCACTGGGTTCCACACTGAGCATGGAGCCTGCTTAGAATTCTCTTCCTCCCTCTCCCTCTCCTTCTGCCCCTCCCACCCCACTTGCTCTCTCTCTCTCTCTCTTTCTCTCCAAACAAAACAAAAAAAGCAAATATGGCACTGCAATTTCCTTAAATTACTTTATTTCAAAGTGTCAAAAAGCTGAAGATGATCTTATGCATACACATATACTATGTGTCTCAGAATTTAAAACTATGCAAAGAATTTTTCAATATGACTAAAAAATGAAGTATTTACACACTTTAGCGTAATGCTTACTACTTATTTTTGGAATCTATTGCTGATGCTACTTCTAAAGAGCAATGACCTGACCAGAAAAATAGTAGAGGTGTTTTTTTTTCTTTTCTAAAGTGCTTATTAGCAACCATATCCAAAAGCAATGGTTTTTAGAAATATGTAACTTTGAAAGGTGATCAGAGAGTCATTACTTACAGATTCAGATATGCCATTTTGTAACTCTGCATATGTAAACTGGTTTTATCTGCATTAATGAAAGATTGCTTTCAATGGCCCTCAACTATATGCTTCAAATCAAGATAGTGCCATTAGTATCAGCAGCATGAGCAGTGACACTAGAATAAACCCCAGCACATTTTAAATGGATCACAGCAGACTAGAAAAACTGTAACAGCCTTTGGATATGTTATAAATCCAAAGATGAGCCTTCTTGTTTGTTCTGCATATACAGTAAACATTAAAAAAGATTAAAAACACATTCTTGTCTCTTTATAGAGCATTTCATAGTATACAAAGGGATTAAAATTCTTGTACTATTTAACCTCTCATTTCTATATAGAGCAGGCTTCACATTCTCAACATTTAAAACAAAGCCTATTTCCACCAAGAAAGAAGGAATTAACAAATGAAATACCTAACACTAAAAACCTGAGGAAAAAAGCTGTGATCAATTCTGAAATGAAGCTTTTCTTTAAAAAAAAAAAAAAAAAAAGGTTGATATAAACATTCCAAAATAGAATTTGCTTTCTGATAGTGAAATACCTGACTTCATTTCCACATCATGTTTATCTGATCTAAATAATTTAGAAAAAAATAAGCATCTTAACCTAACTGCTTTATGTATCATTCTCTCATTTTAACTCAGACCTTCAACATGAATCATTCAACAGTCTTACAGTGAGTGAGCATCCCCTCAGGTCTCTCCCTATCTATTTTCTGAACCTTAAGTTATTTGCACCCTTCCTATCTCTCCCCTCCAAAAATCTCCACATAACCCAAGAGAATCTTCATTGAAAAAATCACAACTTAAATATATTGTGATAACACTACATTTGATTTACAGTAGTAATAAATTACAAATTGCCAAATAACTTAATGTAATTCACAATGCAAATCCCTGGTAGAAAAAGAATCCATCTTGCCCTGAATATAATACAGCAGTCCAGTGATTTCAAATTACTTATAAAATAAAAGCAAAATAAGGTGCAAAATACTATTTGTAAAAGTTAAGTAAGAATCCAGTTTCCATAAATCTTTCTACAAAGACAAATGTAATGTGCCTTCCTGCTTCTAAAAATTGTTAGGGAGTTTATAATTAGTGGTTTCAAAAATGACATTAAGGAAACTAGGGATTGAATTACATATTATTTGTAATGTATGACATATTAAATACATATGTAACAATAATACTGCAATGGTGAGTAATTTAAATTAATCTTTGGACCTGCTACCTTTTGGCAAGTATATTTCTTTTCCCAAAGTCTTTGCTATAACTGGTTAATTTTCAAATGTTAGTTTTCAAAAACTTTGCCTCTTATATACTATGTTAATAAGGAGATACCAGAAGTCTCAAATAGTAGAACTATGCCTACAAAATAAAATGAAGATTGTTCTTGCATCTTTTGTTATTGTAACAAATACATTTTAACATAGACAACATTGCTAGGCCTGGAAATTTAAAATACCTAAACTCTTAAAAAAGGGATGGAAAAGGAAAGAAAAATGGAAAATTCTTATTTAAAAATAAATCTGAAGTCCTTGCATTTCTGAGGAAGTTGACTTGTCGAATCAGTTAATCTTCTTTTGAACCAAGCTGTATCTTCCAGCATCCATCCATGGCATATGATGTTAATTCTCTATTTTCTAGATTTCAGTTTGAATTTTCCTGAATGTTTGCAAAGCTGGTACTGGACTTGAGACGTTTGGCTAGAAAAATAAAAAATATTATATTTTAATTTAAATTCTCTAAACATAATAATTCGTTATTTTTATGTAAACTATAGTATTCATCTATTAATTCCATGTTTGAATAGATTCAATAGATTCAATCTTCTAAGAATTAAAACCTAAGCCTGTTTTTTTTCTATCAACCTCAAAAAATATAACTTTGCTTGAAGCTGCACAGGATTTTGTTAGAAGCAGTACCAAATAAAACAGATATAATTTATTTCATCTTGAACATCATAATCTCAAATATGTAATGTAGGTAAGAGTACTCTACTTAGAAAATGGAAGTGCCATAAAGTACAATAATAAAATTATGTATTTAAAAGTCTAAGTTAGAGGGCAGCCCCGGTGACATAGCGGTTTAGCACTGCCTGCAGCCTGGGGCATGACCCTGGAGACCCTGGATCGAGTCTCACGTCAGGCTCTCTGCATGATGCCTACTTCTTCCTCTGCCTGTGTCTCTGCCATTCTCTCTCTCTCTCTCTCTCTGTCTCTCTCTGTCTCTATGAATAAATAAATAAAATCTTTAAAAAAATAAAAGTCTAAGTTAGAAATCCAAATCTAGATTTCTCTTAAGATAATTCTGTAATATAAAAAAAAAAAAAGTTGAAAAAATTTAATGGCTAACAAAGAAAAGTGAGTTGTATTACACACACATACAGACACATAGACAAATATATATGGCTGTTAATAAAATATGTACAATCAATTTGATTTGATTTTGATTTTGATGCTAATGGGACTGAGTTATAGAGTTAATAAAGAAAATCATGCTATTTCACTTGGTAATGTTGGTGCTTATAGTTAAACATGAATATTTCTCATATTCCAGAAACAAAAAACAAGTGTGTCATAGTAAAGGTATCTTATATTGGATAACCAGGAATCCCTTTACTTTAGAGGTTTTCAACATGAGAGCAGAGGTTGTGGTTTAGAAGGTCTGCAATGGCACCCAGGCATCTGCTTCTTTGTTTTGCATTAAAGCTCGGCAGACAATTCTGATATGTGCTCAAGGATGGAAACAAATGGGGATTTTTGTCAAGTTTTGGGAATGTCAACTTAGAGCCTTTAATTTATATTCAGGTACATTATGAAGATCATACAAAGGAATTTCACAGGACCAGTATTTTAAGAAACATACTCTAGGAAATGCTACCATTAAATATAATGTTCTTTTAACTCAATGAATACATGTATTTTTAAGATTTTGTTTATTTATTCATGAGAGACGCAGAGGCAGAGGCAGAGGCTGAGGGAGGAGCAGATTCCCTGCAGGAGTCTAATGCAGGACTCGATCCCAGGACACCAGCATCATGACCTGAGCCAAAGGCAGACACTCAACCATTGAGCCACCCAGGCTTCCCACTCAATGAGTATTTCTTTTTTTTTTTTTTTTCCAATGAGTATTTCTGAGCACCTATGATAGGCCCAGTACTTTCTACATGTTGATGATAGAGTAATGACCAAGATAAACAAAATGTTTATCTTGTTCTGATTTCTCAACTCTACAGCTGCATCAGGAGGAATAAATAAGGTAGAAAATAAATGAAAAAGTCAATTTAAAAAGTGAAGAAATATCATTAAAGATAATGGATATAGGAGAATTAAAAGAAGGATGAATTCTTAGGATGGGGGTCATAAAAGGTATCTTTGAGTAAGTAATCTTTGGCCTATGACCTGGATGACAAGAAGCTAGTCAAGGAAGGCAGGGAGGGGCCAGTACAAGAGCTTTGGGGAGTGGGCAGTATAAATGAGTCTGGGGGTGTTTGAGAGGAGCAGAAAGAAGGCCAGGCTGCTTCCATACAGCAACATGAGCAAAGAGAGGAGTGGGTACAATGAGTTTAGAAAGATGGGGGGGGGGGCCAGGTCACACATAGCTTAGAAATAAGTTTCAATTTTATTCTAGATGCAACAGGAACACATGAAGGGTTTCAAGTGGGAGAAAAGCATAGTAAGATTTGTGTTTAAAAGTTACTCTAGCTACTATACAGAGAATGGATTGTAGTGGGTCAGAAAAATGGAAGCAGGGATACCAGTTAAGGGACTCCTGCATTAGGGCGGACAGGAGATGGGGTGGCTTGCAGTAGGGTATTATCAGTGGAGGTAGAGAAATGATAATTTAAGATACATTTTTGGAAAAGTAGGGCTGATGGAGTGGGAAAAGGGTGGGGAAGAGATTATAGGAATGGGGAAATAAAAAAAGAAGAAATTAAAGATAACAACGTTGGTGGCTTATACAAATGAATGGTAGTGATTTAGAAAACAAACAAAAACCCTGATCTGAAGCAGTAAATATCCTCCACAGAGTTAAATTACAAATTAAATAAGATGCTGAACTCTAAAAGTACACCAAGTCCTGAAAAATAAAATTTCTCAATAGTAAGGTCCCTGCAATACATTGTTATTATTCTAAATAAGTACTTTTAAGATCAAGTTATTTCCTATTTTACAGAATGCTAGCAATTTGTGAAAAGCTTTACTAAATACACTCATATTAAAGGCTCTTCCCTCTATTAGCTAGCTTTTCAAGGTGACATTACAAATCCAGTTCAAACTGATCTGCAAGTAACCTTTTTTTTAGTTAGATATATTAGAAGGGAGGTTAAATAAACTATGAAGAAAGGCTAGCAAGAAATTTATAAGATGGGTGCTTGGGTGGCTCAGTCAGTTAAGCATCTGATTCTTGACTGAAGCTCCTGTCATGATCTCAGGGTTGTGGGATTGAGCCCCACTTTAGGCTCCGTGCTCAGCACTGAGTCTGCTTGAGATTCTCTCTTCTTCTCCCTCTCCCCTGTGTTCTCTCTTTCTTGGAAGGAAGGAAGGAAGGAAGGAAGGAAGGAAGGAAGAAAGAAAGAAAGAAAGAAAGAAAGAAAGAAAGAAAGAAAGAAAGAAAAATAAATAAATTTATAAGGGAAATAATTTTTATATCATAGGTTCCTAGACCAGGACTAATATTTAAGAGGAAAAAAACTTTTTTCTACAAAAGACATTCTCTATTTTAAAAATTAAAATTATTAAGGGATAAGCCCATATCTTCATTCTGTTAATAAATAAGAAACCATGAGACTTAGAAGCCACTCTTCTTCAGCTTTATGAGATCTTCTAGTTAGTGCTTTTTCTGCTTGCCCTATTTGATGGGGAATATGTGTTGAGCACATGCTGTATGTCAAGTAATGATCTTGCAACTATGATTCCAAATTGTTCATGAACAAATTGTCTGTGTGTTCACTATAGTTTCTCCCTGCCTTTTTAGATGTCTTTCTAGGTGGCTCTTCCATGGCTTCAATGGACCCTAAGAGCTGTCTCCCTCTTCCTCCTATGGCCATTTCAGGTCCAAAAAACCTTTGTTTCTATTCCTCTGTTGTGGCCAACCTTATTCCAAGCTTCCTCAACAAAAACATCTGAAAGACACTATATGTTGACTTTTGATTATCTATAATTGTAAACTTCTTACACATTTCTTCCATTAGTAAGGATAACTGTAAAATCTGAAGCAAAGAGCTGTTTTAGCCTAATACAGTTTGAGTTTTCAGAATATACATCATTTCTAAAACAGGTTTAAGTTTTTAAAATACAGGTTTTAGCTAAATAAATAAAGTTATAAAAAGGAACTTACGTAGAATGAGTTTACGTTTCTTTTGCTCCGAATGAAGAAAGCTACTAAGGTAGAAGACAACAGGTAGAAAGAGAATGAACACAGAAACAGCAATGACAGGCACTGTGTCACTGCATGGGACTGAACAATTGAAAGTTCGACTCCAAAGTTTTCGAGTAATGTTCATCTGGAATAATAACAAATAAAATTATTTTATTTCACATTTACTTTGTCTTCAATTTATACATTTTATTAATATCATAACAGGCATCCAGAATTTAGACTAACTATATATATCCCTTAAAAAATTTATTGATCGGGGCCAGCCTGGGTGGCTCAGTGGTTTAGCGCCGCCTTCAGCCCAGGGCGTGATCCTGGAGACCCGGGATCGAATCCCACGTCGGGCTCCCTGCATGGAGCCTGCTTCTCCCTCTGCCCGTGTCTCTGCCTCTCTTTCTCTCTCCTCTGTGTATTCTCATGAATAAATAAATAAAATCTTAAAAAAAAAAATCTATTGATCGTTGAAGACAATTTCTTCTGCCAGGGAAATGAGCTGGTTCAAGGTCATTATATAAGCTTATATCCATATGGAAATTTCATATCACCATCCAGATTGCCAACTTTTCATAGATCTTAGAGAACTTATATCAATAGGAATATGGTTAGACCATGCTTCATTCATTAAAAAAGATTGAAAAGGGTAACTCTGTGAGGTGACAGGTGTGTTAATTAACTCGACTATAAGAACCCTTTCATAATGTGTGTATATTGAATTATCACATTGTATACTTTATTATCATTTTATTTGTCAACTATGCTTCAATAAAACTGGGTGGAGGAAAGGCTCACAAAAACAAAATTTTTTTTCATATGTTACATATGTAATCTCACAGAGTTTGTTGCAGTATTTTTAGAATAGAAATAAAAAATATCAACTAAATACAGCTTCTCTTCAAGAGATGATATTGATGAAATGTTTAGTATCTTGTCTAAGATATTATGAAAGATTCATATGGGGATGCCTGGATGGCTCAGTGGTTGAGCATCTGCCTTCATCAAATCCCACATCCAGCTCCCTGCATGGAGCCTGCTTCTCCCTCTGCTGTGTCTCTACCTCTCTCTGTGTGTCTCTCATGAATAAATAAATAAAATTTAAAAAGAAGAAAGATTCATATGGCAAACAATTTTTCAAGTACATAATATCTAATGAGTCATGGAAACTTTATTATATAATATCTTATTTAGCAGTACACATTAAAAACAGATACATTTAGGGGCAGCAATACCTCATTTTCATTGAGCTCATGGTTTCTGTCAAACATGCTAAGTGACATAAGGAAACTATCAAATTTAATGTAGAAAAATGTTCTTGCCTAAATTTTAAGATACAGTTTGCAAGTGGTGCTTTGTATGTTTACTGTAAGTTTTGCTTATTATAAGAAAGATGTTCTAAAACAGGTGGCCAGGTTGATTTCCTGTGTAATCCAACTTCTGTCAGAAATCAATATTTTTTCTTTATTTTAAAAATTATGAAGTAGACAATTATTCTTAAAATATATATTTAGTATTTATTGAGAGCTTACTGGAAGCCAGATACTAATCCAGACATTAGAGCAGTAAAAGCCCAAAATCCCCCTAGTGCATCCATTTTAAGTTTGATGATAAGTCCTTTTCGCCATCTTGAATATTATTGATACACTATAGTTCACAGCTGCTATTCACATTCATCATTCTCAAGCATTAGGTTCATCAATTTTGACCATAAGCTTTCCATTTTGAGCTAATAATTCCCACTTCTTTGATGCCTCAAAACACAGGCATCCTAGTCCCATAAAAAGGCATGATCGCCATCTAGTGGTGCCCCATATGAAGTCAGCCTATACAATGGAGGAAAAAGCTTGTTCATTGACCAATCAACACATATTACTAAAGGCTTACCAGGTGCTAGGCACTGTTCTAAAATACTGAACAGTAAACAAAAAAGGACATGAGGTCCTTGTCCTTGTGGGGCTTATATTTTACTGAGGGGTGACAGACTATAAGTAAACAAATTAAAATTTTCAGATGATAATAGATATAAAGAATAAAAGCAACAGGATAAGAACAGTAATTAAGAAATGGCTTCAGAAACACATGATAGTAAACCAGAGACTTCTTTAATCAGCAACAAGTACACAAGAGACTGAAATGTAAACATGTAACACCTATGCCTCTGAAAATGACACACGTCATCAAACTTAAAAACCAAATGTAACAATTATCAACTCATTTATGAAGTACTTGATTTATGTCCATTTTAGTTTGATAGATCAGGATATTCTAAAACTTTACTACTTATAACCAGTTATTTCTAGTTGAAGGCAGCATATGCAGATTCCAATATACCTCTAAAGAGGATAACGATACTAAAGGCACAATCAACAACACTGCAAAACACATATCATATCAAAAGTAAATTACTTACTGCATCTTCCACATCAATGCATAAGTGTGTTCCAGATTCAGCCTTATTCTCAAGTTCATTCATTTTTTGCATTTCATTGTACAAATTACTCAGAGTTTTGTATGCTTCACGACAGTTTTTGCAAACTTCTGAATAATTCTTTAACTGCAGAAGACTGTGAATGCTCCCCTAAAATGTCAAAGGCACATGTAATACACACAATAAATATTATATCTTTTTAACATAAGCTATTTGCCTTTCTAGAGGACAGGAAACAATATAGTACATTTAAAGTGCTGAGTGGTAGGGATCCCTGGGTGGTGCAGCGGTTTGGCGCCTGCCTTTGGCCTAGGGCGCGATCCTGGAGACCCGGGATTGAATCCCACGTCAGGCTCCCGGTGCATGGAGCCTGCTTCTCCCTCTGCCTGTGTCTCTGCCTCTATCTCTCTCTCTGTGACTATCATAAGTAAATAAAAATTAAAAAAAATAAAATAAAGTGCTGAGTGGTGATGTTATATAGCTTAGTAAATCACTCTGAGCCTCTGTTTTATCATCTATAACATATTGCTACCACTACCTGTATTATAGGCTTCAAGGATTAGATACCTGGTATGAAAAGCACATAGTAAAATCTTTGGCACTTTCTAGTTGCCCTTAAATTTCGAAAACCAAGGGCGCCCAGGTGGCACAGTCAGTTAAGCATCCAACTCTTGGCTTTGGCTCAGGTCATGATCTCAGGGTCAAGGGATCGAGCCCCACAGCAGGCTCCACATTCAGTGTACAGTCTGCTTGAGATTCTCTTTCTCTCTCCCCATCCAGCCTGTATTGTCTCTCTCTCTCTCTCTAAAATAAATAAAATCTTTAAAAAGAAAGAAAGAGGGGCAGCCCAGGTGGCTCAGCAGTTTGGCGCTGCCTTCAGCCCAGGATGTGATCCTGGAGACCCGGGATCAAGTTCCACATCGGGTTCCCTGCATGGAGCCTGCTTCTCCCTCTGCCTGTGTCTCTGCCTCTCTCTGTTTCTCATGAATAAATAAATAAAATAATAAATAAATAAAAAGAAAGAAAGAAGGAAAGAAAAAGAAAAACTACTGCACTATCCACTGATAACAGAACAATATAGCTCAGATGCCAAATTACTAATGCCTAAATACCAAAAATGTCCTAAATTATCTGGTCATTCATATGTCTGCTCTTGTCTATCCTATTTTCACAGAATAAATAAAATAGGCCTTTGCCTGGGCTGACTTTAACAGTGAAATCTGCCTTATTTTTTTTTTAATTTTTATTTATTTATGATAGTCACACACACAGAGAGAGAGAGGCAGAGACATAGGCAGAGGGAGAAGCAGGCTCCATGCACCAGGAGCCTGATGTGGGATTCGATCCCGGGTCTCCAGGATCGGGCCCTGGGCCAAAGGCAGGCGCCAAACCGCTGCACCACCCAGGGATCCCAAAATCTGCCTTATTGAAACAGAAGGGACTTGGGGCGCCTGGGTGGCTCAGTCGGTTAAGCATTTGCTTTTTACTCAGGTCATGATCTCAGGGTCCTGGGATTGAACCCTGTTCTCTCCCTGCCTAGCAGAGAGCCTGCCTTTCCCCTCTCTCTGCTGCCCCCCCCCCGTGTGTGTTCTTTCGCTGGCTCAAATAAATAAATAAAACTTTTATTAAAAAAAAAAAGAGAGAGACAGAAGACTTTATTAATGGAGAAGAAAAAGACACTAAAACTACATCCCCACTCAATCCTCTTATCCTAAGGCTTGTAATCCAGACCTCTCTAGTCAACAAAAAGGGACAAAGAATTACATAACCTAAAATGAAGGTAGTGGATGTAAGATATTGTATTACTGAATCTCAATCTTTTCTACTTCCCGGACTGACACTTGCCTTTTTAAGGACAAGTCTGCTAACCAGTCAGTTCACATTCTTACTTTCTATTCCCCTTATTCTTTACCTTATAGCATAAAGCAATAATATTAACTGAATATTAGAATGAAAGAGGAAAGGAAAACTTAAAGGAATTAAACCGATGTACCCCCATCCCACAAACACACACACAATGCTACCCTCACCATATGTTTGACAAAGAAACTAAGTCTCCTCAGTCCTGCCACAAGAAATAGCACATGGCCTGTTTTTCACAGAACAATTGTGCATTTAGCTAAATGTGTTCAATCAAAAATTGAGCACAGAACCTTGATGGGGGAATGTAATTTAGCCATTGATATGAAAATTTAAAATGCACATATCTTTTAACAGAGTAATATCACTTCTAGGAAAATACCAGACAGGTAAAGTCATACAAATATTCCAAGTTATTTGAAAAAAAACATGTTTGTAACACTAAAATACTAAACCAAGTAAAAATCTTCATCAATATAGGGACTGACTGAATAAATGGTGGCATAACCAAATGGTAAAAAGCTCTGCAGTGTTTAACAGGAATGAGGAATTAGGATTGTGGGAAGAGGATGACACAGCATGTGCCCTTGTGTCCTGACTTCTTTACTGAAGAGATTCAAGAAAAGAAAGATAAATCCAGGCACCTGAATAGCACCTAAATTATAAAGGTGTGACACGCAACTCTCATCACAGGAAGGTTGTATACAAGCTACAACACAAGTCCCAGAGGAACCAACCAGAACGACAGTCTCTTGTGAATGTCTATCTTCTGTGCCCACCCACTGTCCTCTCGAGATGCAATAGGCCAGAATAGTAGCCCTACCTTGCCTGCAGATCCATCCACAAAAAGCAGTCTTTTCAGAGCCACCAAGGCAGCCCAGGTTTCCAAAGAAGCCATCCTGCAAGCACTTACTACCCAAAATAGATCTGGTCTGGAATTTAAACCTACATCCTTGCTCAGTCACTAAGCTTGGAGCTACTGCCACAGCCAATGTCACCAATTTCATTGCTACCATCGAAAGATTTGGCTGCCATTTGGCCGCCTCCCTTTGACTTCAAACTTTCTAGTTGGGTTCTTCTTTCCTGTTTGTCTCTTGGCTCTGGCTCCGGTGGAAGACCCTGAGGGCAGAGTATCCCCTGATAATAAATGAAACTACCTCCTGAAGCAATAAGGACCACCCTGAGCCTATGAGACCCCATCAGGGATGGACTCCATGACAATGGTCCATTTGACCTTCAAAGCCTGCCTGCAGGTACCTATCCACTTTTGCCCCACATTTTCCTTATAAAAACCTAGTAGTTTTGGCACTTTGGAGACAGTCTTTGAGAGGCTAGTCTCCCATCTTCCCTGTGTTGGACTCATGTAAATTCCTTTGTTTCACTGCCACTCATTTCTCTGCCTTTGGATTTTGTCAGCAGTGGCCAAACCTGGTCTGTTTGGGACCCTTAGAGCCAGGTGTTCTTGCACCCCTGCGTCCTGGGTACACCACTATCTCTTTAGCTGGCTCCCTTCCCCTCTCAAACATACACACATATACACACCCCACCTTTAAAGCACTGGATATCGGGATCCCTGGGTGGCACAGTGGTTTAGCGCCTGCCTTTGGCCCAGGGTGCGATCCTGGAGACCCGGGATCGAATCCCACGTCAGGCTCCCGGTGCATGGAGCCTGCCTCTCCCTCTGCCTATGTTTCTGCCTCTCTCTCTCTCTTTCTCTTTCTATCATAAATTTAAAAAAAATAAAAAAAATTAAAGCACTGGATATCCCCAGGACTCAGTCTTTAGGGCCTCTTTATTACCAATCATAGCTTCATTCACTCATATCCGGTTTCACAGCTTTAAATATCATCTGTACCTGATCTGATGATTCTCAAGCTCACACTTCTCCCCTGAGCTCCAATTTCATTTAAAACACCATTTGACATCTCAACTTAATAGCTATTTCATATTAACTTGTTCAAAACAGAATTCTTAATCCCCAATCCTTTGCAACCAGTCTTTCCTGTGGCTCCACCATCCTCTTAGCTACTCAGAGCCTAAAGCCTAGGATAATCCTGGTTCTTCTCCTTCCTTCTCTGATCAGCCTTCACTCCTCCCAGGAATTACCCAATCTATCAGCAAGTCCTGTTAGACAGACTTCCAAAACACATCCTGAACTGATCTACGTTTCTCCAACATTGCAGCCAGTACCCCAGTCCACACCATCTCTCTCCTGTAACACCCTCTTAATTAGGTTCCTTCTTTCCATTCTTGCCTAGGTTCAACTGAGTTTCTCCACAGGGCAGCCAGAATGCTATTTTAACATGCAATTCATATCATGCCACATTCCTGATTTAAATGGCTTCCCATTGTGTTAAAATTCAATCCGTATTTCTTCCTTTGTTCTGCAAAGCTCTACATGATTTGGCTTCTGCCTATCTCCCCATATCTCATTCACGTATGCCCACTGTGCTCCAGCCAAACAGGCCTCCATCCTATTTTTTGCACATACCAACCTCACTCCCTTCCCCAAGGTCTTTATCCTTGCTTCTAAGGAAAATATTCTTCCTGTGGCTGATTCTATCTCAACCTTTAGATCATCTCAAAATTCTCCTATTCAGAGAGGTACTTCCTGCCCATCAATCTAAAGTAGTATACAACACTCCTTTTCCAGGACTCATTACTCTTAAATTGCCTTCTTTCTTTGTTATTAATCATACCCCTACTAGGACAAAGTTTGTAAGAACAGAAATCTTACCCACCTTGTTTACTGCTCTATCCTCAGTGTCCTAGAACACTGCCTCCTGGCACATAATCAGTGCCCAATAAATATTTGTTGAATGAATAAGTGAGTACATAGGGCCTGCCTGAGGGGATTTTTGAAAACCAAGCTATAGAAACCAAACTCTATATGGACAGAGAGAGATTTCTTCCAGCCCTCCCAACCTGGTACAAACACCCTATTACATTGACCACCTAAGCATATAAGAAAGTAAGATGAGCCTAACAATGAACATAAAAAGAAAACAAAATACATAAGGAAAGAAAAGCAAATAAAATGATTCAAAGGGAAAACAGATTAGTAGACATCAGAGTAAATGCCCTAATGAAAAAGAATTCATTCAGTGAATAGGAGAGAGCTTTTAAAAATTAATTACAGGGATCCCTGGGTGGCGCAGCGGTTTAGCGCCTGCCTTTGGCCCAGGGCGCGATCCTGGAGACCTGGGATCGAATCCCACGTCGGGCTCCCGGTGCATGGAGCCTGCTTCTCCCTCTGCCTATGTCTCTGCCTCTCTCTCTCTCTGTGTGACTATCATGAATAAATAAAAATTAAAAAAAAATAAAAATAAAAAATAAAAATTAATTACAGCCAATGGTATGAAATAAATGTCCACAAGCCCATACTGATATAAATAAATAAATGTAGAAGAAGTGGCAAATCTTCATTATAGAAATATTTCTAAATATTTAAGTAAATGCTCACCCCTCCAGGACTTAAAGCTTAATTTCCCCAGCCCCCATTCCTGTTACTTAGTAATTTACTTCCAAAGTATGGAATATGGAAAGAGGAAGCAAAAGATAACTTTACATTAAAGATATGGGGCAAACGCTACCCTGTCCAGGTGATCAGGATAACATCACCAGGAATAAATCATGTTGACAGACTGTATCTCTGACAGGCTGTGATAAGAAAGGTACTTCACTTCTGTAGTGTTCTTCCCCAAAACCCATAGTCCCAGTGTAACCATAAGAGAAACTGGAGACAAACCCAAATTGAGGAACATTCTATAAAATACTTAACCAGTATTCCTCAAAATTATCAGTCATGAAAACAGGGAAAGACTGAGAAATTGTCAGAGTCTGCAGGAGGCTAAGTGTGGTATAATGGGAAACAGATATTTGGTCTTTCTCCCTGGATCCTGGAACATAGCTCCCAAAACCTTTGGAATATCCAGAGTGAAAGAGTGCCTCTGCATGCTAATGAGATGACTACTGGCCAGTGGTCCCTATATAGCTTCAGGATGAAGGCTGGTCACCAGAAAGACCAAAGCATGATCAGGGGGTTGGAACTTTCAGCCCCACCTCTGACCTCTAAGGAGGGAAGAGGAGCTAAAGACTGAGTTAGTCACCAGTTAATCATGATTGCCTACATAATGAAACCTTCAGGGGTGCCTAGGTGGCTCAGCTGGGCAAGAGTCTGACTCTTGATCTCAACTCAGGTCATGATTTCAGGATACTGAAATCAGGCCCCATGTTGGTTGGGCTCTGCCATCAGCACAGAGTCTGCTTGAGATTCTCACTCTCCCTCTGCCCCTCTCACTTGTGCTCTCCAAAATAAATAAATCTTCAAAAAAATATATTTTTAATAATTGATTATCACATCACAAAGATATCAATAAATTCCAAAATCTAGGCAGGCTACATTTACTGGTCACAATTTCAATAAAACTTAAGATGCACAAATGCAAATAAACAAACAAAAAAATCATGTCACTGCTATTAAAAAATAATCTTCCAAAGAACTCTTAAGTCAAAGAACAAATCAGAATTAAAATTGGAAATTTAAAAATAAATGCAATGTAATTCCCTTTATATCAGAATCTATTATTGGAAAGGCCAAAATTATAAACTTTACAATCTGAAAATTATTTTATTGTTGAGTAAGAAAAGCTGGAAATGTTAGGCATTCAATTCAAAGAACTAGAAAAATGACAAAATGAACTGAAAGATCATAGGAGGAATTAATAAATGCCAAAGAATAAACAAACACATTAAGATTTTTAAAAAACCAGGAACTAGTGAGTAAAACGAAACAAGTTTTTAAAAGATCAATAAAAATGAATGTACCTTTAACAAGCCTAAAGAAAACTCAAGGGAAGAAAGAACTCACAAAAAATAGCATTTGGAACAAGAAAGGGAATGTAGCTACATATATGATAGAAATCTTTAAGAAGTGACCAGTTACTTGCTATCCTGGAATGGATCCTTAGACAGAAAAAGGACATTAGTGGAAAAAGTGGTAAAATCAGAATAAAGTTGGCATTTAGTTAATAGTTCTGTACCAATGTTGCTTTTTTAGTTTTGACAAATATACCATAGTAACATATATAGGTTAACATCTGGGGAAACGGGTCAGCATTATACAGGAATTCTCTGCATTACTAATCTATGCAACTTTTCTGCAAATCTAAAATTATTCCAAAATAAAACATTTTAAAAGAAAGTAACCAGTAAAAATCTGTAGTGGGGGCACCAAATGTGATAAAATACGTTGGAATAAACTTCAGAAATGTATAAAACCTATGCAAAATTTAAATAAATCAGTAAGACTGTGCTAGAGGACATTAAAAAAAAAAATAGAGAATAATGGTGGCTGCCAGGGGCTAAAGGAGGACATGGGGAATCACTGCTTAATGGATACAGAGCTTTAGTTTGAAAAACTTCTAGAGATGGATGGTGGTTATTGCACAACAGTGTGAATATACTTAATGCCACTGAACCGTACACTCAAAATGGTAGCATGGTAAACTTTATATTCTATTTTACCGCAATAAAAAGAGAATATACCATATTCCTAGATAGAAAAGTTCAGTATCATAAATATGTCAACTATTTCCAAATGATGAATCTAAAATGTAATGCACTTGTAATAAAATCTTAAAATGACTGAATTTTTTTTTACTTGGTTCTACAATTCATTTCATGAGGAAAAAAGAATTGGAGCTATGCCTCATATCTTACATCAAAATAAATTTCAGATAGAGAAAAGATGTTTAAATGCAGAAAATAAAACCATAAAATTACTAAAAGAAATTACAGGGGAAATTTTTTAAAATAATTACAAAGTGGGAAAAACCTGACATGACACCAAGTCTGAAAGCTATCAAAAATTTTTTTGATAAATCTGATAATATAAAAATTAAAAATTTCCTCATAACAAAAAGAAAAGCACAATAAAAATAAACAACAAACTCAGAAAAATATTTGCAACTAATATCTCAGGAAAAATGTTAATTTCCCTAATGAAACATTCATCACAACACTTAAAAGAGTAAACAAAAGGCCTTGGTATACAAAGACTTAGTATACACAGCATACAATTACTATTTGGAGTTTTACAACACACATTAGTCCACTAAAGTTCTGAAGTCCTATAGTAAAGCATTTCCCAACCTTATTAGAAAGCTAAACCTTTCTTATGGGCCATGTGTTAACACCTTGCAGAAGATATCTGGGGAACTGCTTATTTAACAGTTCTTATTATTCGCAGGGAAATTCATAATTCTGTGTTATCACATTGGTTACAGAGAAAATCACATGTATATTATACACGTTTACATCTATTTGTGGGGATTACTTACTTGTTAAACAAGTTTCAAATCTAGGATTTTATCAGAGTTCCAATCTCACCCTTCATCACCACCATCAATACCAACAGGGTCAGAAGTGAAGAAAGGAAAAACCAATAGGGTGGGTTTCCTTTCTTTTTTTTTTTTTTTTTTGATTTTATTTTTTTAAGTAATCTCTACACCCAACATAGGGCTTGAATTCGCAACCCCAAGATCAAGAGTCACATGCTAAAAAAAAAAAAAAAAGAGTCACATGCTCTACTAACCCAGGCAGGCACCCCAAGGTGCGTTTCTTAAAGGCTACCTTTTACATTATAATTCAATACTCAAGTTACCTTACTAAACAGTGCCTTTTATTTTATTTTTTTAACAGTGCCTTTTAAAATAGGTAAAATGTTAAAGCAAATATTGAGGCAAAGAATAAGCTGCCTGTAGAATCATATACTGCATTACATAATATAATACCTTATTGCATAAACAAAGTCAAGGTAAGTTACTGTCAGATAGAAAAACATTGTGTTTTAATTAAACAATCACATGACTAAGTTACTGTGTTCATACTCAGTATCTCATTGGATCCTCACTACAAAATACTTGAAGGTAGGCAGGATAGATTTTACTATTCCTACCTTACAAATAAGAAAAGTACAGTTTTGATGATTTTCCTAAAGCCTCATAATATTAAGAACTTAGCAGAAATCCAGGTCCACTTAACTGTTGTTCTACATTGTGTATATAGATAAACATCAACAATTAATGCTAAAAAATTAGTTGACTCATCTATTACTGTGTACAATGCAGCATTTTAATTTCAAGTATCATATAAAAAATACCTGGAGGTTATGCTCAAAGCAGGTCAAGGTGTGATTAAATAGACTGAGGAAGTACAGTGTGCTATTTGATAATTCTTCACTTTTGTTTGTTAAACAATCTGTCAAAAAACAAAAATGTATATTAATATATCTCCAGCAACAATTATAAACTGTCACTTATCTCTCAAACTATCTTCTGTTTTGAACTATAGTAATTCTTTGTTCAAACAAGCATATGTGTTCCATGTAAGAGAATTTTTCAAATACATGAGCTTACTCCCTTTTAGTTTCTAAAAGATATATTTTTTGTATCATAACCATTTTCACAGAAATCTCAAAATAATCACATACTCTCTTCCCTTTATAAAAACATACATTAAATAAAATTTAAATTGATTGTTGATATGCTGCAAAGTCTTAGTCATGAACATCAGCTATCAAATGCTGACTTAAAAAGGGTATTATTCTCAGTGTTGTTTAGGCATCAGACTGTTTATCCTACATTAATTTAACCTAAATTCATATACTTTTTGATCATCTTTTGTGTCAAATTTAGTAGTTCTGTGTCTCTTCCACCTTCACTTCTATTGTAACTTGACAGGGTCACCTTTTTTAATTTGTTCTTTCAAATCTATTGAGTTGTGGGACCAAAGAAACAAGCTGATAAGAATTTTGCCTAAAATACTGATAAAGGGGCTTCAAGTAAAGTCTGGAAACAAAGAAAAGCATTTTACATGTTTTTTAAAAGCTAAAATAAATGATATTCCTCTGCAACTTGGTACTTTTGATTAACATTAGCTCAAGTTCATTCCTCTTGCTTTCTATGTATCTAGGATATAGGTGCAAGTACCTGGCTTCATATCCTGAAACTTGTGGTCAGCCATTTCAATCTCACTCTCCTGGAATCCTTGCTCTCTTTACATTCCACATACTCACAAACCCTGGATAATCTAACCCTGAATAATCTCCGTTCGCTTTCTCTACTCCCAATTCTGCTTGTAGCATGCTATTATAGAAAATTCTAAGGTCATAATTAAGTAACTCAATTCCAATTCTAATCTCAGGGGCACAAAAAAATCCTTGTAGACACCTTACCAATTATTCCACAAGGGATGTTCCAAATATTTCCTATTCTCTAGTACCTACTCCACCCTACTCTTGTCCTTAATTTCAACTGATGGCCATATATTATACCCACTTAGGGCCATCTAAAATGATCTCTCTCAACTGGAAGTGGAGAGACAGGACAGGAAGCTACTGCAATTATCCAGGAGAAAAGTGGCAATGCAACAAAGAATTCAATGGATGAGAGATAGACCAAATAGGTAACGAAAGAGACTTGAATACAGCCCCCTCAAAATATGCCTCTTTGGCATGTAATTATTTTTTTAAGGTTTATTTATTTCTTTGAGAAAGAGAGCAAATGTGGGCTGGGGGTAGGGGGGACAAAGAGAGGAGGAGAGAGAGTCTCAAGTAGACTCCGCGCTGGACTCTGGGCCAATCTCACAACCATGAGATAATGACTTGAGCCAAAATCAGACAGTTGGCTGTTTAACTGACTAAACCACTCAGGTGCTCCTGGCATATTGGCCACTAGGAACCAGAAGCAGGAAAAAAGCTCTAAAAACAGGGAACACATTATGTTTTAATAAATAAAATTTACATTTATAAAGGAGATTTCCATTTGTAAAGATGTCTCCTTCTCAGTGAAAGGAAGAAGAGGACTCTTTAACCAATGGAGAAGCTCTAACTTAAATGTGTATAACCAACTTGACTAAACAATCCTGGTTTAGCATGCTTTTCCTAGTCACCTTCTGATAACTTGTCTCCTCCACCCAGAAGTCCCAAAGCCCTTTTCTTTTGATTAGCTTAAGACGATGTATAAACCCAAATTCTAACCATCCCTTTGGATTACTCCCATGTCACTCCCATCACTGGGTACTCTACAGTATCCACGTGCATCACACATATTAATAAGCTTCTGTTTCTGGCCAGTCTAAGTTATAGAGTTCCAGCCAGAGAACCTAAAATGGGTAGAGGAAAGAGGTTTTTTCCTGTCCCCTATAGGAGACACTAGGCTATGAAACACCGTGAGAGATGCACATGCTCTAACTCTTATGATATCAAGAGGCAGGCACTATCATTATCGCCATTCCCTAAATAAGGAACACAGGCTTAGAGCAATTAAGGAAGTTGGCTATGGCCATAAAACTGGTACTGAAAACCTGAAGATCCTATTCGGTCTGATTCCTGAGCCTGCATTTGCAAACACTAAATAAATAAAATATTTACATCTATATCCTTTTTAAGATTTTATTTTTAAGTAATTCCTACACCCAATGTGGGGCTCAAACTTACCACCCCAAGATCAAGAGCCAGGTGCTCTTCACATCTGTATTCTAAACCATTACAGTTCAATTCCGAGAATCACCCAAATACATGACACCGCTTGTCCTTCCACTACTTATAGATCTCTTCACTATGCAAGGATTCGGGCAGTTAGTACCAACTGACTAGTATTTGTGGCTGAGATGAACTTTAAACCTGGTGAACAGGAGGGGAGCAACTAGCACATTAAAACTTCTCTGTGCACATTAAAAACAGACATCCTCTCTGGGTTAATTACAAAAAGGCACTCCTGCCCCCAGAAGCTGAACCAGAATTCAGTTCTATTCATCACCATCTGCGCTAGTGCAGGGCTTGGTGTGCACCTGGTATGCATGGGGCTCTACTGATGAACCTATTCCTAGAGTCTCCCTCCCTGAACTCCTATACTCTGCATTCTCCACATCTTTATCTTCTCAATAATGTAAGTCCCATTCAGAGAAATAAAGTAATACACTGAAGATCATACATCAGGTTAGTAAGGCCCTGAAATACAAAATGCACTTCCAGACTTTCAATTAAATAGTCTCTTTATTGTATCACTTTTTCTTTTTGAAAATGTTGCTCTTCATCTCTCGAAAAGTTCATTCACTAAATTCTCTTTTTAAAAAAAGATAAAACAAATGCCTCTTCTTTTTTTTTTAAATAAATGCCTCTTAATGCTGGTTTAATGTCACCACAAAGTAGCTTTGAATCCTTTTATGCATGAGGCAGTATATAATATATAAAAACAAACACAACTACAAATACGTAGAATATTAGAATATTAGCCTAAAAGATCGAACAGGTTTTCTGTTTTCATAGTTGATTTTTTGCGGGAGTAATGGGAATACAATTTCATCCATAGCAATTGCACATCTATGTTAATGAGCCATGTAACTGCAACTGACACACCATAGGGAATTAATGGGTGTGTGTGTGTCCCTCTACTGCCTATAAAAGCAGTATAAAGCACGTGAACATAAGACAGCAGTGGCAATTTCTTCTATACACAGTATGTCATTGGAACGATTTCTTAAAAAAATTATTTCTTTATAAAAAAGTAGTTTATAGGATAATTATGGAAAATAAAAACAAATGAAAAAATAATTTATAAAGGAAGCTTCCTCTGAACAAAAGAACTTAATCTCTTCTACTTTACTGACAGCTATTTCTTTTCATTTAAAATAATTTGAAAATTAAACTAAAAGCTAATATAGACTGGTCATCTTGTTAAGTACCACATTAATGCAGTACCATCAAAATTTTTTCAATGATCATTAGACAGTGGTATTATGAAGCACAAAGGAGTTCATTTATACAATAGGATTTTAAATGTCTTCATTACTAAAGAGCCCTGACTTTCTGATTTAAAATAAAGGAACTCCCGGTAAAATTCCTCTTTTATACTTTTGCAGGAATTGGGAGCATAATATTATAAGCAGTGAGAAACTATATATTTTAGAAATTAGGAAGTTATGGAATATTAGTAATAATAAAGCTTCCTATAAGCACTAAGTGAAGTGGTCATTATGAATTTTCCACATCTCAGATAATCAATGCAGTCTCATCAAGGACAGATTAGCATAGCTTCTTTCTCAGTGAGGGCTCAAGCATCAGCTCAAGAGGCATTTTTAAAGGTGTGGAGGATTCAAGTTAAGATACATAGACCTAAATTATCATGATGGAAATTATTAGCATCTTTAGATAAAGTATTTGGCATCCATTAGGAGTTTGTATAAAGATTTCTGCTGTTTTACAAAACCAGTTTTATAGAAAACAACAAAGACAATCACCAATTTCTGAAAAACAGGACAAGCTTCAGAAAATAGAGCATAAACTGTGAGAACTTTGTACCTGAAGAATATAATCAAGACTAATGAGTATGAAAACAAAGACACTTTAAATTATAACATACCAATAAGTGAGTTTAATGCTTAGTAAATTACAATGTAGATAAAATGAGAAAGAGAGGTTCTGCTTAACCAAACTTTTGGTTAACCATGAAGTTTTATTATTGACTTTTAAGAAATTAAGAGATAGTAAGCGAAGGGTGATAGAATATGCCTTTCTAAAAATATGCCTCTTTGCAGGGTGACAAAACATGAGACTCCTAACTCTGGGAAATGAACAAGGGATAGTGGAAGGGGAGGTGGGTGGGAGGATGGGGTGACTGAGGGGGGCACTTGACGGGATGAGCACTGTTGGCAAATCGAACTCCAATAAAGAAATATACAAAAAAAATACAAAAAAAAAGAAATATACATATTAAAAATAATAATAAAAATAAAATATGTCTCTTTGCCTTAAGAATTATTTTGAACTAGAGTTACCTGAAAAACAGCAAGCACAGAGAGCCTTCTGTGAATTGCCTTTATCTACCTAAAGAAAGATCTTCCAAAAGAAACTCAATTATAAATCCCTTACCTGGGAGTTCATCAACTAGGTAAGACTGACTCATCACACAGGAAAGGAGACCAATGGAATAGAATCGAAAGTCCAGAAATAAACCTCAGCATATAGAGTCAACTAAGAGCTGAATTCATAGAAAGAGAAGAATGGTGATTGCCAGGAGATGGAGGAAATGGGGAGATGTTAGTCAAAGGATACAAACCTCCAGTTTCAAGATGAGTAAGTTCTAGGAATCTAATGTACAGCATGGTGATTAGAGTTACCAGTACTGTCTTATATACTTACATACTTGAAAGTTGCTAACAGAGTAAATCTTAAACATTCTCCTCACAAAAAAAGAAAG